GGGGGGGGGGGGGGGGGGGGGTTGAAACCCAGGAGAGACTGACTGTAGGAAAGGGGCCCCAAGCCTGAGGGGGGAGGAAAGGTGGCACTCCAGGGAAGGGCTGAAAGCCTCTAGTATCTCTTTGCCCTCTCTCACCAGTGCTCCCCTCAAGGCCTGATGCAGCCCAGGGAGGCGAAGCCGGAGAAAATCCATCCTGTAGGTCTCCGTGTGTCCAGAAAGCTCACAATGACCATCCGTCCCCACCCACTAATGCAAGCCAGTCCTCCCCAGCACCCAAGACACTTCCTCTTCCCCTGCCTCTCCCTGACGTATCTCCACCCCAGGCCCTGTGCACCTCCCCCACACTCATGGATGACTTCATGACAGCAGGGAAATGGCTGTACAGTGACCAGGTGACTCAGGTTCAGGTGCACATCTGGATCTAAAGGGCAGGGGATCGGGCCTGAAGAAAAAATTGCAAACAGGAGACTCAAGAGTTGGAGAGGGGGGAGGGGGCATTGTGGCAAGGGCAGTGGAGTGACTCAGGTCTTATATTCACACCTCAGCCATTTCCGTCTCCTCCAAGCCACAGTCTTCAGTGAGAGGAAGCTAGGGTTTGTGGTTCCTGATTTATCTGGGGAGATGCAGTAGGAATGAGGATAAGGCTAGTGGAAGTTCTGGCTTCCCACTTCCAACCCATTAGCCCTTCTCTGAGGGGATGAAAAGCCCGGATTGGTGTCTCCAATGACCGTGTCCTCCTCACTTGTGGTTATTCTTGTATGGTGGTTATTTCTCACTCACGGCTTTCTGTGAGTTCTTTAAGAACAGAGGCTGCAGAATTTCTAGAACCTTTTTCTCATTGGTTGAGTGATCTAGGAAGAACACCGTAGGGGGGCTTATTGCAAACAGCAATCTTAATGACTGGTGGTTGAAAAGAGCTGGTAGAAGTGGGCACAGGCTGCTAGAAGCCATAACAGAGGACTGGGCTTGATGAAGAATGATCAGGATGCTCCCCCACCACCAACAGGAAGGTAAGGAAGGACACTTTATTTGGGGCTATGAATTCCAACTGCCCTCCCAGCCTCGATTTCCTCATTTCCAATGAGGACAACTGGCTGACATCACAGAACAGAAAACATTCTTGCTCAGTGAACTCAGCACCTCTGCTCTATTTCTTATTGCTAACTGGGTATCTAAAGTCACCTATAGGTCTAATGCAGGATTAACATTGGAGGAAGGGGATCTTGGTTTTCTCATCTATAAAACCAGGGGTTGTACTACTTTCGTGGTATTTGTTAGTTGTAGGATAATATGGCAAAGGGAATTTAACGCCTTGAATGTTGCCACAGTTAATTCATGAAAACCTGTTTGGTGGGTGCTATCTTTTCGCTTTCTAGGCAATTGTTCCATTCTAAGATGCCCCCAGTTGCTTATTTTAGGTCTTTACCAGTCTGTAAGGACAACAGATAAGAAGGACCTGAGGCTGGTAGCCTTTGCTCCCAAGCAGAACTAGTCCTAGGGGAGTTGGGTGGATGGGGGGACAGGAGAAAAAATTTAGCCATATTTGTTTCAGGCAAGTGAGGGCAGTAGGAAAGAAGCTGAAGCCTCCCGCGCCATAACTAATCCTGGCAGATTTGGCGGCTTCTAGAGTGCTGCTTTTTATGGCTCTCTACTTGTGGCTCCCACAGTTCCAGTTCAAAACCAGTGCTTCCAGGATTCTTCCGAACTCTCCTTTTCTCACTCCCCGAAGACTGGAAAGACCAAAGACGAAAACAGGACCCGGAAGTGGGAGGAGACTTCTAACCACGTGATGGGAGACGCACTGGTACTGACACGTGACCCTCCAACCTGCTATTCTACCTTGGGGAGAGATCAGCTGCTCTTAAAGGTACAGGCCCGGGGGGCCGGGGGCGGGGTCCGACGGGTGGGCGTGGGTGGACAAGAGGTGGAAATCCGAGGATCTGCTGATGGACCGTCCTGTGTAGCTGACAGCCCGATCTGGGACTGACCCCTGGGCGTTGATCCTTCGCACCCACCTGTCCCAGACTTTTGTATGTTCTCTTGAAGCCAACTCGGAACACACGCTGACTCTGGGCCCTTTGGTGGACCCGAACTCGATGCTATGGAGAGCTGTGCGGGCTCGTGGAGGCGCCTTGAGCATTCCCAGAGTGAGTGCTCTTGTCAGTTGTCTTTAGAGTGACCGGCCGCCTCTGCCCCGCGACGGTCCTGAGGAGCTCGGAAACACAACACACCGGGCGGGGGGGGGGGGGCGGCGGGGGGGAG